CAGTATGAACCCCAACGTACGATGGCTAATAGTACCAGTTCTATGTTGATTAACAAGTAAGTCTTCTGGTGTGTCTGGTGTGCGTATCGTATTTTGCTATGCCGATCTTAATTCCCAAGTCTGCCATTCTGACGAGTGATGTGGATTCACTACCCCCAAAGTCCTCTATCCTTCCCATTTCTCTGAGGGCATTAATAATATCAGCATAATCCATAGGCTGACCGTCGGTAGTGATAGCGGATCCAGCCAACCTATCAGCTCGTTCATTTACATCGACGCCTGCTTCTCTCGGAACAAAAATAAAGGTGACTCCACGCACAGTGGACTTCTGTAATGATTCAAGCCATTGTCTTCGCACCAAACCAGCCTAAACCCTCCGGATCATACTCATTGAATATATGTGACTAATATCATTACCTAATACGGCTCAAGGCGTGGGAAAAAAGGGGTTTTATTCAAAATATGCTCAACAGCATTCTCTGTTCGCAGCTTCTAGTTTCTTACAAGTTTTTATGTTACAAATTGATAATTAAGGCATCCAACTTTTTTTTTTTTTACTGGTGTCTGCTGCGAAAAGGAGAATGTTTTTTTTTTATTGAGTGAAAAAAAAAAAAACACGTGAGATTGCTCTAGCATCATCAGAAGTGTGTAAGTGTAGTTATGAAGAGCTCAGAGGCAGCAGATATGTGATCTGTATATGTTAGGCCTTGGTCTGTGAGAGCAAGAAACAAGGGCCTTTTCGCCTCTTTAGCTCTACTGGGTTCAAAATGTTAGCTGCAAATTAGAAAAAAAACCAATTCATATTTGGTGGGTAATGTGGCCAATATCACACAGACTATCTTTACTTCTAAGTATATTTCCTAGAACTAAGTTTAATATAGGCTGGCGTGAAACCCTTCGTTGATTTTAAAATCCCATCTCGATGGGGATTTGCGTGTTTAAGACAATTAGAGAGGACAGACCACAGAACCAGTGAGTACTCACCACACGTATCTCTGATGACGAGATCCTTGCCCTCTTGAAGGTGGATGTTGAGCATAAATGTGGAATATGGCTGTACATCAGACTCAGCATTCGGCGCCGCCGAGGGATCCTGTTGGCAGTCAGCAGACGTGATCATTTGTCATTTGTTTCATTAGCTTTAAAATATGCGACGCCTGCAGTTTTATGTCTGTCTGTCTGTCTGTCCGGATGTCTGCACCCAGTCAGTTGCTCAAAATAATGTCCTTCGTGTGGGTTGCGGTGCCTCATTGGGGAAAAGGAAGGGAAGGGGGGAGGGGGGGGGAAAGACCCACTGCTTTTCAACAGTATTTCTTTCTTTTTTCATCTCACTGATACCAGGTGACCACATGTACAGTGCCATGGTTTTCTGTATTTTGTTTTGTGCATCTCGAGTGGTTTGGGTGATGTATTTGTTCATTCTTTTTTGCAGGTTTCGTACACACCATTTCTTTCTCGTTCTTTTCATTGCCTTCATACTAGATGTTCTGCTTAAAAAAATATATCTGATAAGCAGTTTAGCCTGGCTGCCTTCTCACTAGAAGGCCGAACCATTTCTTTCTTTGTCGTATAAGGAGACTGACTGAAGATTTGCTAAAATCGGATGTGCTGAGCCGAAAGATCACAACAAACCTTGCAACCGTCTTTTTAAAGATTTATTCAAGTAACAGAAAGTGTTTTTAAAGATGGCCGAAGAAGGAAAAAAAAAAAAGAAGAAAACAAATATTGGGGGTGGGGGATATTAGCAGCATATCGTAAAACGCGTATAGAACAGGTCAGAGGTTCAGTTGAATGTATTTGTTTAGCTGGCCAGTCCCTTTAAATCTGGGTTTTCACTCACAACTATCCAAGTGAAACTAATATAAGGACTTTCATTGCAATCTCATACCGACCTATCATCTCAAAGGGTAGTGCAGAGATATCCTTTCTCGATAAAACTAACGTTCCATTTACACAGTGTTATTCACTAGCTCACTTCTAACTGGTCGAACCTTAGGCCACGTTAAATTAGCACAAGGTTACGGGGTTTTCCCACAATGGCGTTGATATCGCGTGTTGTATATATTTTAGCACGCCAGCGCTTTTAACACGCCAAAAAACAAGGACAAACTGGGTCTAACACAACTTCCCTAGAGAGTGCTGCAACCTACGTCACAGGCATTCTCTTTCTCTGAATAAAAACATTAATGCAAGACAATCCAGAAAGCAAAAAACAGAGCGGAACACCCGTAACCTGCATGAAGGTAGAAAAGCCAAACTGATCCCAACTGAATGTGTGTACGTATAGATGGATGTGTTGTTTTAGACATGAATTTTTGAGTATATGTGGCATTAATGGTCTCTACACATTAACATACATATACATAAGAGTACATAAACAGGAACGTATGCTTGTTCGTCTCTGACACGGTGTACGCGTGTGTGTGTGAGCATGCGCTCGAGCTCGTGTGTGTATGTCTGTTGGTACAACAGGCGTATGATGCAACACTCATATTTTTATAGACCAATCGGAATCCATAGGGACATGTGGTCAACAGCCTATACTACCCATGACATTCATACCCATTATACGCTGGGTCGACCTGGGAGTCAAGTTCATTTTTGAAAAAAATCAGCTAGGTGCGGATTTGAACCTATGACCTCTGGGCCTAAAGGCGAGTGTCTAGTCGTTTCACCACGGTGGCTGGAGAACGGTGGGAACAGTGATAATGTAACTTGTAATAGTGGTAATGGTAATGTTAGTTTCAGCTTCATACCAAACTGGTCACCCCATAGTTGCTCCGCTCCTGTGGCAACACAAACACACAGAATGTTCATCACAGTCCCTTGTGGACAGATTGACAGACTGCTGTCTCAGTATACGCACTAGCATACACATGCATTAAACGCATACAGTAGCCATCACATAACTTGTGAGTAACAACATTTCGTGCATTCGCAAACTAACAGCTGAGAAAAGTTTAATGTCAAGTAGTAGCAGAATTCAATTTATTTCGACAAGGGCAGACAATTGGTTGACCACGTCGCTGATGGACGGACTGGTCTATATAAATATGAGCCTAGCTTCATTTGCACGAAACGCCACAATAATCTTAAAAAACATATACAGGAATAGATCGAGCTAGCGATTTAATCTCGTTACATCGTGATACAGTGTGTGTGAATGACTAATACTTATGGCCTGATGACGTTAACTGTTATACAATAATAGATTGTTTACAGAATAATAATAATAATAAAAAGAAGAGGAAAAAGAAGAAGAAGAACTGTACAGTTATCCGAGGAAGCGTTTTATTAGTAGGGAAAACATGTCGCTGATTAAATTACAAAGATTTTGAATGCCAAAAATATGACAAAATTATGTTCCTTTCAGTAGCTAGGCGTTTTAAATATATATATATATATATTAGGGCTGTACCGAATATATTCGCTTCGTATTCGCTTCGGGGCCGAATAGTGGACCTAATAACTTGCCTAAATACTTGCGGTCGGGCCAAATACGAATAGTGGTTACCTTACACCCCTTTCTGCATACACTGCGATAGTCACTGTGCCTAAGTCGCTTTCATGCAATAATTAAGCTGTCCGTGACAATTTACAAGTTCAGTTAATTGCTATAAAACTAAGAATACGTTCACTCCTAGGTATTAGTTACCACAGACTGACTGACTGAAGGATGCAAATTATAAGATGTTTTTAAATGTTTACTATTCTGTACCACATTTTGTGAAGTAAAATTTCAGCGTACATTTGACATTATGAATGTGTGGTTTTTTAAAAGATTTATTTTATACACTATTCGAAAGTGGAAGAATGGGCCTCAGTTTGAATAGTGGGAAGACACAAGTAATGGTGGTGTCAAAGAAAAGAATTATTCCTAAATGTGTAATAAAAGTCAATCGTGTTTTTTTTTGGGACAAGTACAGAAATTTAGGTATCTAGGCACATGGATAACATCAAATGGAAGATGCATTACTGAAATAGGAAACAAAATAGGACAGGCAAAAACTACATTTTGTAAAATGAAGAACATCTTATGCAATATGTCTTTGTCATTGAAGGTAAGAAAAAGAATTCTTGCTTGCTACATACATCCAGTTTTAACTTATGGCTGTAATTCCTGGACAATCGGTAGGCAGGCTAAAAATTTTGGAAGCCTCAGAGATGTGGTTTCACAGAACAATGATCAAAATACCTTGGAAAGCCAAAGCAACCACGAGGTTTTGAAAGAGGCTTGAGCCCGAAGACAACTAATCACAGACATCAGAAGGAGACAGTCATCATTTTTTGGCTATGTTATGAGAAGAGGGAAAATGGAACATGTGGTGACCACTGGAAAGATCTGTGGAAGGAGGGATAGAGGAAGACAACGAGAGAAGATTCTTGACTGTCTTGTTGCATGACATGGAGGTGTGTCAGCACACAAACTAATAACATGCTGCAGGAGATCGCAGATTGTGGCTAGGCATAATTACCTACGCCTGTCGACAAGGCACCTGATGATGATGATTTACTATTCGTATTCGTATTCGGGCGAATAGTTCGTCCCGCTATTCGTCTTCGGCCGAATAGTGAAAATGACTATTCGGTACAGCCTTAATCTATATATATGTATATATCGATCCAGCCTTGAATGGGTACCAGGATGCATGTCCACATTAGCCGCCTAGTGCCGACTGGTCTGTAAAAATATGGGTGCCCTTTCCACATGCCAGATGCGCCTAAGGTGTAAAAGGGATCTTTACTTATTTTTTTTAAATTTATTATTATTATATATATATTATATATATCTATATATATATATATATATATAATATATATATATATATATATATATATTATATATATATATATGTGTGTGTGTGTGTGTGTGTGTGTGTGTGGTGTGTAATCATACATTCACCTTCACATTTTTTAACAGTGTTACTCCCTAACCTTACCAGACGAAGTGATTTCAGAGCGAAACTCCATTATTTCGTCAAATGTATTAGAACTGTACACAAGCTGTCTGTTTTCCAAGTTTCTGCTCTATAGAGGATAACTGTCCGAACGCATGTTTTGTATATCTTAAGTTTAGTTTTAGTGCTGTAGATGTTTGATTTCCAAACACACTATGAAGTCTGTTGTAAATAGTATTTGCCTTTGCAATTCTCTGCTTGATTTCAACCATTACATTTCCATTCGAGGAGATATTGCTTACCAGGTAGTTGAAGTCAGTAACTGACCCCAAACTTACATCATCCATTACTGTACGTCTTTCACTTTTGGGGTTTATCTCCAGCAGTTATGTTTTATGTTTGGAGAAAAGTTGGAAAAGAATGCAAGAGAAAACCAAAAACTGTTCTACAAGACCCTTAAGAACATGAGGAAGGAGAAAGAGTGCCCACTTAAATTCATAAAAGACAAGGAAGGGGCTCTGCTTACTTCTACAAATGATATCATGGGCAGATGGAAAGAATACTTCTCAGAGCTCCTCGGCGCTGAGGGAAGTCATGACCCAGAATAATGGACCTCACTGCTGAGAAGGAATTCAATCATGGGGAAGATAACATCAGGATGGAAGAATTGAAGGCAGCTATTGAGAAGATTAAGCTGGAAAAGCAGCAGGTCATGATGGTATAACACCAGAGATGGTCAAATATATGGGAGTCGAAGGTGAGCGCCTTCTACTGAAGGTATCTCCAGGCAGCCTGGTGTAGCAAAACTATACCAAAAAGATTGGGAAGATTGCCATCATTATATACCAAATTTTAAAAAAGGTGATAACAGACAATGTGAAAACCACAGAGGCATTCCCTCCTCAGCATTCCCCGTAAAAGTTACTCTAGAATTCTTGAGCAGAGACTTAGAAGTCCTGGTAGAGCCACAGCTGGACGAGGCCCAGTGCGCTTCAGAGCAAACCGAAGTACTCAAGACCTTATCTTCACACTGAGACAGATGAGTGAAAAAGCCCTGGAATATAAGAGTGAGATTCATTATGTTTTTTTGGATCTGGAAAAGGCATTTGACAAGGTAGCCTGGAACAGCTCTGAGAACTGCTTGGCAGGGAAAAACATCCCAGCACCCCTGATCAGTGCAATACAGAGTTTCTAC